CTTTGAAGTCAAGCTTTCGTGGGAATTGATATTCATAAACAAGTGCGTATTGATGACGAAACGTAAGACGACTCCTTGTCTCGGTCAGTCCGATGACGTCATACTTGATCTGCCTAACTTGTATCATCAGATTTTCCATACACGCTTCCGATGCAAGCAATCGCGCATTGGTGGCACACATCGCCGTCTTAGCCCTGGCTTCCTTTCAGGCAGCCGTTTCGGCTCCGAGATTCAGGCAGCCTCGCGAGCATTCCCATCAAACGTTTCCGTAATGGGGGCTCCCTCGGATTCAGAGGAGCGAGGCTCATTCGTATTACTAATTTGGCATATGGGTAGCAGTTTATCAGGCTATATCGTGGGAGTTGGGTTAGCACCGAGTAGCTAGTCGGCGTCCTCCAGGGTGGACGATGGACTTTAATATGCTGGGTACACCTGCGAGCTACAGAAGGTATATCGACCCAGAACAGCAGGAACAGGTAGCCCAACCCCTCAATACGCGTACTCATTTAGTGAGTACCGCTGACTTCCTTTTGCTCAGCGATTTATTCCCCTATCCGTCATGTGGAGTCGAACATCTGACCATTGATAAATTCATTCAATGATTGGACGCTTTTGAGTTAGAGACCGACTTGTTCAATCGAAATGGAACTCAACAGTATTTAAGAGTTCTCGCAACATGATGGTTATCTATATCTTGAATGTTACTGCAACCAATCACCAATCTGTGCAACGCAGCCGGAGACTTTCGAAGTAATGTTTAGTCTTACTCGATTTCACTTAATACTATAGCAGGATACAGGAGAAAACACTACCACAAATTCGATATGGCGACCTAATCAAAGCCAAGACATGCTTCATTTTGGTTTATTGATAGTTCATTACAGTGAAAATTCTTCTACCTGTATACTACGGTTAAAATGGCTTCCGATTCACTTGTGAATGTTGGCCTTCAGGGAACGCTTATCAAGATATTTGCTTATGCATACAATGTACCTGTATCAGTCTCAGTGCTTGTTCCTCCTTGTCTTTTGGTTTTTTATATCTTCCATATTTTATTAGCTCCCTTCCCACAGCCAGGAACTTACCCATTTGCATGATTTGAGGACGTGACTGATACTTCATTGGCTCTGTGCACTCAGAGCTCGCATTACTAAGCGATTAGTTCGAAAAGCAGCGACTTCCCAGTTTGATGGCCGTTTTCACATAGTGCTGAAAACACTAAACATGAACCAGAATGGAATGACAACGCTTCGAAGGAGTGTTACAGCTTCTAATGACATCGGAGCTGCAGAGAAATTAATTTACGTGCTGGAAATTTCAGGAACGCCGTGTGAGACGTAAACAGCTAAAATTGGCTACTGATGAAGTATTAGGTTGAGTAATAAGTCCTCGGACAAATCTATGATTATATTTATCTTAGAATTTCTAAACGACAGTTGCGAATCATGTGAAGTGTGCCCCATTGGCATCGGTGGTCTTTTGGCAAGGAATGGGCAGATCTTAGATGCCCTTACTCCACAACGCTGAGGGCTGTCCTTTGAAGAAATGCTTGAGTGCCATTTTGATGTCGTCGCGAGTTTAATTGACCACTCAGGTGACGTTGGAGATGGAAAAAATGTGGTTATCCGAGGAAGCCAAGTCTGGGAAATATGGTGAGTGGAGTGAAAATGTCCAGCCGAAACTCATTAATTTAGTTTTGGTCGTTCATGCATTGTGCGACCGAGCGTCGTCGTGTTGGAAGTGAACTTTTTGCTGCTGTGGACGTGTAGCTTTGAGATTCGCCGTCGAATTCCTCAGTTGCTTAATGTAAATCTTTGCGGTCACTGCACATCTTTGCCTAGCAGCTCCCAGTATTCGACACCGTGAACTAGCAGATGCCGAGCATAACCTTTTTGGCGTGTCCGTTGGGTTTAGGAAAGCCTTCTGCATCCATATCTCTGTCAACTCATTCAGCACGCCGGTGAACGTTAGAGAAGAGACTCCTCATCCCCGGTGACTACTTGCTCGAGCCACGTGTGGATGCGCTTGACCCTGGGGAAAGAAATTGCCATAACGGCGCGGCGGTCCATGTCATACTGCTTCAAAACATGAGGCACCCATCGACCGAGCTTTCGCACCTTGCCGATAGTCTTCAATCCACGAGTAACTGTGAACAGACTTTCCCCAAGAGGGACTGCCGGTTCACGAGTAGTTTAATACGGATCGGCTTCCACTTGGCTCCGCGGCACTTCCAAATCCAACTCCATTGAGCGTCCCGGACGGTCTTCATCTTTGATGGAATAGTCGCCCGACGCGAACTCGAGTGCCACTTGTAAATTATGCTTCTAACACGGGCGCCCTCGTAAACTTCCTTCATACGTCCATCGATTGCCGCGAGTTTTTGGTCAGATAAAGAAAGAAATAGGATGGTCTTGCGAAGGTGAAGTTGCGACGGCTTCAAATCATGGGGCATTGTTGCAGGAAAGGAAACAGTTAGGTGTATTTGCTGAAATGTGTTCGAAAAAGCTCCTTATACTCTATCCAACAATGCCTCGCATCTCCATTTTCGTCACTTCTTTCCCGAGTTATGATCTTTAGCAGTCATCACTATCACATTGTCCGAGAACTTATGACTCAACCTCATATTTTACACCCTAGTTCCACTGAGTTCTCATCACCTGTACCACTTGTCAGCCCGCCCATCAATAATTTCTCCGAGCGGCGGATCTCCATTTGCCCCAGTCGCGAGTCAAAGCATTTGAGTGAATCGTCCTCATTCGAGGGGCACACATAGACACGTGGCATGGTATTTCCTTTATTTACAGGTTTTCGAATGAATCGGAATTCGCGCTGGCTGCCGTCTTAATGTCTGTTAAAGCCAACCTTGTTCCTGGCCAGTTGACAGGGCTCAGAACTCCAGATTCCCCTCGCATTTGCATTTGAGTGCATCAAGAAATCCCGTACATCGCCCTTCGCAAAGCACGTTGACTGATGCCAAATCATGCTCATCCGGCTTTCACAGCGTTCAAGTTTTAGAGGCGCCGAGAAGGTCAGCGCAGAGCCAGAAATCCCTTGCTTTCTTCACTACTCCTTCAATGTTCTCAAAATCTCCGCAGTCATTCCAACATCATTGCCCTCTTTGATAATCGACTACTTTGTAAGAAGTGAAATTCAGAAACGTTCTCGAGGCCAAAGATTTTTTTTCACGGCGTCGAAAATGGAAACTCAGTATTACACTCTATCGGTGGGCAGGAGGATAACAGCAACACTCTTGCTGTGATCCATCAAGTGGAATCGATGTCATTCTTTCGAATCTCTTTTATTGAGTGAAGCCTATGAAATTCCCTAGAGCTGCAAAAGTCACAGTTATCTTCTAGAGGTACTATTACAACGAATGCTCCAGTTTTACGCCTGGCACAACAAAACTGTTCCTTTACTGCTAAGTTTTTACAGTTTTGCGACTAGTGAACAGCTCTGCCACAGCGTTTTTCATAAACTCCTTCTCAAATGGGAAATGGTGGGGTGGTCACATTCATAAACCCTATGACATGAAGGAACTTAACATCCCTCACCTGCAAGTCTTCATTATCTTTGAAACAAGTAATGGTCACGCATTAGTCTTAGAAGACTGCGTTCTACACTTTCTGATTCGCGTCCTAAGCTGGTTTGCGCAATTGATATTCGACTGGGTTGTATCTAAGGGAAACGAAGCTATTTCGAGAACTCATTCAAGGCGTAGTGTTCAATATAAAAACAAAGATTCATCAGAAATGTGCAAGCAACAGGTCTTGTGATTAAGGAAATAGTGGAATCTTTGTTAACAGAATAGCAAAAAATGCAAAGTTTCTGCAAACTCTCATACTTAAAAGAAATGTCTAATATTTGTTCCAGTCAGCTTTAAATGCTCACGGATCCGATCTGCAATACTGCGCAAGGAAAGCAGGTGAAGTACTCGTGGAACTTCTGCGTGCAGGTTTATTTTCTTTCCTGGAACAATGGGCGAGCCCCTTCCTTTTCCTGCAGCAATCGTTTCAGGTAAAATGAAAAACAATGCGGCAGAAGCGCTAGAAAAGTTTATGTAAAATTTAATGCATTCCGACACTTTAAACAGAACTGTTTGATACAAATATGTTTCGCTATTTAGGGCAACCTCATCCACTTCCATTTCTGCGACAAAGGCTACCTCAACAGGGCCTTCAACTACAGCTGGAACGACTACCACAACAGAAACTACCACAACAACTGCGTCGACTTCGCCAACCGAAACTTATACAACAGCTACGTCGACTTCGCCAACCGAAACTTCTACAACATCTACATCTACTTCGCCAGCAGAAACTTCTACAACATCTACATCTACTTCGCCAGCAGAAACTTCTACAACAGCTACGTCAACTACCTCGACGGAAGTTTCTACTACGTTCGCGAAGACCTCAGACTACGAATATTCAGTTACATCCGCAAAATTCGCATATGATGAACAGGGCCTTATACCTGATAGGGCATCGTTCACCACCAGCAAAACAGAGGTGAGCATCGATGTCAAGTGAAACTATTGTTAATCCGCCTGACTAGCATCTTCACGACGTACTAGGTGATGTCATTCATAGGTGCACATCGTTTGGAAGTATGATGGGAGAAATGAAAATGCGGTCCCTCGACATTATTTCACTCCAAATCTAGTACATTTGGTTATGTCACTGCACATTTTCATAGTCGCATTTGCTGGAGGAAATATTCGAAAATAAAAAGAAACATGGACAGCCGTAAAGGGGACTTATGGAAAGGAAAACCTGCTGCTCAAGTGTTGATAAAATGAACCAACATTCAGGACCCTTAGCGTTTTCCAAGAGTGATGACAAAAAATTGGTTCCAGTGTTCAATTAAGGAAGAATGGGCTCAAGAAAAAGCGGGGATGGTACTCACAATGTTCACTCCATTTACGAAGACCGGGTGGGTGAAACCAAGCGCCAAACGATGGAACGCAAAGAAGACATTGTTGACGTACCGCACGGAAACTACATTTGGGCTGAGAACAAATTATGTTTAAATTATTGAAGAGACGGTCAGGGAGATGTGCGTATAGGTACCTCAATCCTTCTTTCAGTTTCTATCAGCCTCTAACAATTTTCCAAAGTGCCAAAGCTCTGCCATTAACAGGAAGTGAGTAACTGTTCCTGTGGCTCTCGCCTTTCAAGGCTATTCGCCAACTCTCTTGATTGTTATCACCATCAGTGTTCCTGTCCTGCTTCCTGTATTTCTGCCATTTTTGAACGCTTTGGGGCCACCGGAAGAGGAGTTATGAATTTGCAACCTAAAATTTGCATAGCGCACGCCCAAAAGCGAACCAAAATTCAAACGTTGGATGAAGCCAAGGGCCAAAGGATGGAACGCAAAGACGACATTGCTGACTTACCGCACGGGAACTGCATCTGGGCTGAGACCGAATTGTGTTCAGATTTTTGAAGACGGTCAGCTAGTTGTGTGTATAGGTACCTCAATTCTTTACAGAAGCAAGAGTTCGGAACCGAAATCGTGCCTGTAGTAACAATATTCAACAAAGTCGTCCACCACTTTTAAAACGAATATTGAATATGGGCGAAGCACTGGTGTGCTCGCACGCTGAGAACAAAAGTGTCAAGCTCCAGATTCAAAATGATGTATTAGAGGAGGCGCTAGGAATGACTGATGCAAGGTTACATGATTTCTACGACACCGTGGCTGTAGACTTTTTGGGCTTTATGTTATGGCGACCCTATTCCAAAAAATACCATCCCTGCTCAAGTGTACAGCAGTCTCTTAGCAATTATATCCACAACTGGCAGCACACAACTGAGGCAAGATCATTATTGTTTATAATCGTACCAAATCACGGGCAGAATGGACTGTGCCGCAATTTTTCAAAGAAAAGGAACTAAACCCATGGTTTTATACGTCGTATTCACCAAATCTACCAAGTGCGACTTCAGCGGTTGAAGCCAACGCAAGCCCCATATCCCATATCAGTGGCGATCGCTTTAATGACTGGCAAGCTACCGAAACGACCTGAACAGCATCTGTTGAAAAAAGGAGGCGGCTTGGTACCCAGACACTACATGGAAGTTGGAAATGTGTCGTTCAATAGAGTGGATTACTTGAATTATCGCTAGAATAGTAGCTACTTATCTCCTCAGCTGCTCAATTTCTTTGTAGGAAAGCATGCGAAACTTCGAGCAAGCTGAAGTAATACTTTATTTATCTCAAAACTGCAAAAGAAACACAAGGATATTTGGCAAATGAAGCCTTAGAGGAGCCTAAGAGGCCCCCGTGCCTAGGCTCTTCTGAACGTTTTTTGTAATTTATAAAGTTTTTACACTACGCTGCCCATTCCGGTGAATGTATTGTCCCACACCCTCCCTCCCACCCATTTTCGTTATAGGGGGTCCTTCGAGTCTATATTTGCCTTGGTGGTCTTGCACTAGACCTCACCCATTCTATACTTGACTTGACCCCTTCAGGTTGGTCATCAAAAGTTCACATTTCGTGATAGACAAATATACAGGCAGGCAGAGGCATATTCTTATCAATAATAATGATATAATTATAGTTTCATAGGTAGTAAGTATTGAAGGGCACATATATAATACAAATTCATAATGAGAGAACTTCTTTAGAGAATTGTGAATTTTTGACCTTAGCTCCGTCTTCCATGTAACTTCGGACGCTCTTCCTTCAACACCTCATGCGCACGTTTTATTCGGATGTGAGAGTAATTTTGAGCCAAGTCATGGGTGCTTGACTGTAGATCCACCTCCCTCAATGCACGCCCCGCCCACTGTAAAACTTAACCACTCTTTTTCAGTGGCCTAGAGCTACCTCTTTTTCGAATCCTAAAGGTTTCAGAATGGCAGGGATAGCCGAGTGGTCAAGATTGAATGTGGGTTACCCGCTGCCGAGGCGAAAACCATGCCCAGCAGAGATGATGTAGCAAGCTACCGACTTTAGGCTCAGGTTACCAGAACGACTGATGGAGAGACCGAGCCACAACAATTTTATCTAAGGCTGCAAAAGAAACCAGCGATCAAGTTAGAGCACTACCCGGATGTGGCTCACAATTCCTCCGCCTGTCTTGTCTTGTAAACAATAAACGAGGGTTGCCGAGGAGTGAATGAACCCGACCAATGAATTTGATTAGAATTGAAACTTTGGACGCAGGCTCCCGCCTACTAAAAAGCCCCGAAAGGTTTTTGGTTTGAAGAAGCGTAAGGACATCGAAGTTCTATGCATACAAGAAACAGACTGCAAGGGAGCAAATTGTAAGTCCAGAAGAATCGGGGAGCGCTTTAAGTTCTACCACAACGGGGGAGACCAACCAAACAGAAGACCAACAAAGGATTCGGCCACTTTACCATAGCAGCAAATGCATCCAGCAAACTATATGTTTCCGCTGCTAACAGGATCAGCGGTTGAGTCACGACTGCGAGGATTGGGAAGAAAGGTATTGGACAGCAATATCTGTGTACGTACGCAAGCCGGCTGCATCACGTGCAAAAAAAGATCATTCATACCTGAGCCTTGAAGACGTCTTCAGACTATAACAGAAGAGAACTGTGTCATCACAGACGGTTACGTGAATGACACGCCGGCAGTGGAGGGAGGGACCAAGAAAGGGCTTTTGAGGGTGGAGGGAAAGGAGTACGGAACAAATAAGGATAGAGAGCTCTTGGCCTGACCACAGCTCACGACCTAGCAGTCTGCAGCACTTTCTTCGCAAGAAGGTAGATGCAGAAGTTGATCTACAACAGTGGAGTAAGTCAGGAGAATTCGGACTACGTGTTTGTAAAAAGATCGAAACTATCAAGGACAAAGTACTGCCCGGATAAAATCTGTCTCCACAGCACACACTTCTCTCAGCAGACACAGCCATCAAGCTTCACAAGAAATCAAGATAAGAACAGAGCAAAGGCTCCGGCGTTGTAACCTGCACCGAACTAAAAAGGGTAGCTGCAAAAGGGAAACTCGAACGAGATGAATGCTGGAAACTGGATCCGAAATCCTGGGAGAGTGATCCAATAGGCACTTTGCAACACTAAGTAATTCATCCTACAGGGTGCGAGGATAACGTGGGAGAAACGGAAGGCGGATTAGGAGGGCTCAAGGATTTGTGACTATCGAATGATGGAGTGGAACGATGAAAAAAAGGCGTCACAGGCACTGGCAAAATACGTGAGCTCCAGAAGACCTAGATGCCTACAGAACTTCCGAGAGACTCTCCAAAGCTGCTACAGCGGAAGCGGACAATACGAAAATAGTTGCCTTGTAAGAGAAGTGCATATTCAGCCAGTGATTACACAAAATTACTCAATCATCGGAATAGTGGGGCTGCAAAGGACAGTGAGGGTGCAATCCCAAGCAAGTTTGGTGAGGTTAGGCGCAGGTAGAACGAGTTCGAAGAAGGCTTTTCAACGAGAAATTTTACTATGCGAACAGCTCCCATATAGAGCCACATCGCATCGGTTGGACCAACAATCGCAGTCCGGGCAGAAGAAGGGGCCTGCCGAGCAACAAGGAAGATGACTGTTGAGAAGGCAACTGATCCGGATGGGATATCGATGGAAGCATGAAACGCACTTGAAGGGCACGGGACTGTGATGCTTACGCAGGTCCTGGACACTGTTCTCCAAAGAAAAAAAATGCACGTAGAAGCAGTACTATCGTCCCGTCTCCAAGCAAAAAAGAGATGCGATGGAGCGCTTCATATACAGTGGGGCCAGGTTGATGCGCATATAGTAAAAATGGACGAGCGGTTACTCGACTTATAATCGAGGAACATTGTTCCAATCACACAGGAGCGGTTCGATATAACGTCGAAAAGGTCTACAATGGATGCCATCTCCATAGGTAGGCAAGTGATGGAGAAGTATCGAGAGAAGCTTAAACCCCCTCCTCCATCTACCTTCTCCGAAAGCGCGAGAAGTCCATCAGAGAATGCATGGAGAATCAGACATTTCTGAATCTGATCTCACTCGGGAAGCGTGCGACAGTTACGAGATGGTTATAACAGCATCTCATAGCGTAACCATGCAACAGACTCACGGTTGGGGTACACCCTTACCTGGGGGTGGCCTAGCCTGGATAGTGCGGCAACGTGGATTAGGCTGTAAAAAGCCCGAGCAACGAACATAAGCCCATGGGTCGAGTGAAGGAACACAGGGGTATCCTTCGAGATTCACTGCTCTTCGAAAACGCCGCCCCATTTGGCGATCTGAAGAGATCCCCTCAATAGCTTCTAATCGCTTTCTTCTGCATGCTAGAATGTTTCCGAGCAGAGCTGCATATTTTAAAAAGCATCCTCCACTTAAATACACGATCGGCCTGTCATTGATGGAGTTGCGCCAAATCTACTTATACCCAGCACAAACAGTGGCTTGCTCGCTCCATTTTCTTATTTAAGGAGTCCAGGCTTTTGTGGAATCAAGTTGTGTATTTATGAAGAAAGAATCATCGGGTATGAAAACATGCGCGGACGCATTGTTCATAGGTATATAGTAAGGATGATCAGGGAGGATTCGCAATTCACAATATCACATCGTAGCGTTCCAAAGCGAAACTAGAAGTCGGCTATCATTCGTCTGCTATCCAATTACCCCTTCGCTCACTCTTCGTAAAAGGAAGCAGAAGATTTTTACTGCCTATGTCCTGAGAACTGTTCTATCGCCCTTACGTGGCCTGTTTTGCAGGCCCGGGAATCACTCTCGAAGTAGAAGTACGTGCGCTAAGTATTACCGGAATATAATATTCGGTTGGGTATGTTGCTTGTGGATAAACAGAAGCGCAAGAGAAGACCATAAAATACGAGAGTGATATAGCACAAGAGAAATTGGAGTGGCACAAACAAAGCATGCATCAATAAGCAGCAACTCAACGATGAAATAAAAGTATTATGACTTTACGGTCGAAAGAATCCTAATCATGTCCTCCCAAATAGGGTTTATCGATTTAGGAAGTTCAGGGCCAATCAATTCCAACAAGACGTCTACTCAGTACGTAAATTCACTGGGCATCCAGCTGTTTTGAATGCAGGATTTTCAAGGAACCCCTCCGATTGATGAGTCGATCCCATCGCTACCGTTGGCAGTGCAG